GGCCAGCCCCGGCTGGGGCTCGGCTCTCCCCCCGGCGGCCAGAGCGCCGGGGGCAGGGCGGCGAGAGGGCGGTGAGCCCCGGCTGGGGCTCGGCTCTCCCCCTGGCAGCCAGAGCGCAGGGCGGCGAGCCCCAGGAGGGGCTCGCCGCTCTCCCCCCAGCGGCCGGGGGGAGGGTGCGGGGGGGGAGGGCGGCCAGAGCGCCGGGGGGAGGGCGGCGAGCCTGGCTGTGGCCCCGCTCTCCCCGGCGGCCGGAGCGCCGCGCCGCCCCCCTCCAGGTGCCGCCCCAAGCACCAGCTTGGTTGCCTGGTGCCTGGAGCCGGCCCTGGCATGCTATAGATCAGATTATACCATGCGATTGTACTAAACATGCTACTGTGTGGAACAGAGACTTGGGCAATGACAGTAGATAACAAAAAGAGATTGGAGCAGCCCATCACAGATGACTGAAGAAGATACTAAACATTTCATGCAAAGACAAAATAATAAATGCCACTGTAAGGGAGCTGGCAGAGCAGGACGTGTTAGAAAATACAATGAAAGAAGATTTAGGTGGTAGGGACATGTATACTGTCTGGAAGATGGGAGACATACAAAGCAAGGATTGAATTGGATACCCAAGGGAGGAAAAAGAAAGTGAGGAAGGCCAAGGAAGAATTGGCAGAAGACCAGGACAGAGGATATTGAATGCACTGTCTTCAGCTGAGAAGAAGTACCATGACTAGCGAGCCACCATAATCAGTGGAGGAACTGGATTGCCTGATGTATCAACGGCAAAGGAGGAACTAAGGTCTAAGGCCGGCCACTGACTCCTTTCCTCTTTCTCTTTCTACTGCTCCCATTCTGTTTGATGCCTTGGAATAAACAAACCAATCCAGTGGGCATTTTTACCTGATCCCTCTTTTACTTTGTATGATGGTTCTTCCCCATCCCCCACCCCTTGAATTAGAGGTGGAACTGATACTGGCATAATGTTCAGTATGGAGGCTGCCTGAGCTCTTCATCTGCCAGCCCCCTTAGCATTGACTGTGCTCAGAAAGTAAACTACCAAGCTTCAGCCATATCTTCTCTTTGTAAAACTAAGGAGAAGCTGGCAGTGGTTGAGGCACCTGCTGGTTTTTTGAAGCTCTCTTTCACTTTGTTTATGGCCATCAGGACTTGCATAAAAATCATGGTAGGTAGTGGATGTTGCCCTTCTCTCTCTTTCTCCTGTCTAGTCAAATGGCTAATCTAGTCAAAGTTATCTTGGAGACTCAAGCAGAAAGAGTCATGGTTAGAACAAATGAACTAACCTTCCAGTTTTGGGCCTCCCACTACAAAAAGGATGTGGACAAATTGGAGAGAGTCTAGTGGGGTACAACAAAAATGATTAGGGGGCTGGGGCACATGACTTATGAGGAGAGGCTGAGGGAACTGGGATTGTTTAGTCTGCAGAAGAGAAGAGTGAGGAGGGATCTGATAACAGCCTTCAACTACCTGAAGGGGAGTTCCAAAGAGGATGGAGCTCGGCTGTTCTCAGTGGTGGCAGATGACAGAATAAGGAGCAATGGTCTCAAGTTGCAGTGGGGGAGGTCTAGGTTGGATTTAAGGAAAAACTATTTCACTAGGAGGGAGGTGAAGCACTGGAATGGGTTACCTAGGGAGGTGGTGGAATCTCCATCCGGAGAGGTTTTTAAAGCCCGGCTTGACAAAGCCCTGGCTGGGATGATTTAGTTGGTGTTGGTCCTACTTTGAGCAGCGGATTGGACTAGATGACCTCCTGAGGTCTCTTCCAACCCTAATCTTCTACGATGTTATGAACGTTTGTTTGTGTCGGGTTGATCAGCGGAAGAATGCTGCAGTACTCTTCAGAAACATTTCACTTAGGGTTCCTGATAGACACAGAAAAGAGCTCCATATTTCTACTGGAGGATTGTTTCCTGAGGCTAAAGTCTCTGATTATTGTGTTGTCATCTCAGGACTACCCACCATTTCAGTCTCTACTGAATCTGTTGAGAGGAATGGCTTTCTGCCAGTATCTAGTTCCATGGGCTCAACATCTAAGGCTGTTGAAATAGATTCTTCTTATGGAAGACCTACAGATCAGAATCTTGGATATCAAGTGATGATACTCAAGTAGGTCAAGATTTTCTTTGTACAGTGAACAGTCGCAAATAACAAAATAAAGGGAATGCCCCTGCAAGACCCCCAAAAGACTCCAGGGGATGATGGATTCAAGTCTACTGGTAGGGGCGCTCATACAGAGCCTCCTCTGGTCTAAGGCAAATGGTCCTCTTCAGGGATATCTTTCCTCTTTGGAATCTACCAGAGCTCAGAGCTGTCCTCCTAGCTCTGGTCAAGTTAGGAAAGGTTTACCAAGATCCTTCCTCTAACATTGTCATTGCTTACATAAATCATCAAGTGGGATCAAGTTGCACATCTCTTCTCAAGGAAACCCCCTCTTTTTCAAGCACACAAAATGCCATCTTCAGTTCACACTCTGAGAAAACAATGTGTACTAATACATTGTATAAGCAGGAAGCAAACTTATAGCAGACAGAGGACTTGGAGCAGATCCATGTCTCAAACAGTAGTAGAAACTCTGAGGGTATGTCTTCACTACCCGCCGGATTGGCAGGCAGTGATTGATCCAGCGGGGATCGATTTATTGCGTCTATTCTAGATGTGATAAATTGACCCCTGAGCGCTCTCCCATCGACTCCTGTACTCCAGCACCGTGAGAGGCGCAAGCAGAGTCGACGGGGGAGCGGCAGCAGTCGACTCACTGCGGTGAAGACACCACGGTAAGTCGATCTAAGTACGTTGACTTCAGCTACGTTATTCACGCAGCTGAAGTTGTGTAACTTAGATCGATTCCTCCCGCCCCCACCCCCCCCAGTGTAGACTAGGCCTAAGAAATCTGCACATACACCTGTTCCCTGCAACAGAAAACCAAAGTGTTAAAGGCCTCTGCAACAGATACAGGGGCATGGAAGAAGAAGCCCAAGCTGCCTTCATGATGAAGTGGCTCTTTCGTCCAACCTACACAATTCTTCGTACCTCTAATTTGGAGGGTTATAAAGAAATTCACAAAGGATAGAGCGAAATCATCTTGATAGTAACGCAGTGGCCAAGCAGTTGTGGTTAGCATGCATGTCAGCTGATAGTAGTCCTCCAGTTGATCTGTCCCTGCAACAAGCCATATTGTCACAAGGCAACACCATGTCATGATCACAACCTAGCATTGGTATCAGCCTGGCTTGTGAACAGCTCCTCGGACAAATCTAGGTCAATACACAGAGTTCTGGCTACTCTTCTAGAGAGAAATCCAGACCCCACTGAAATGAATGGCAAAACTCCTATTGACTTCGGTGGGGCCAGGATTTCACTCCTGGTCTTTGGAACGGAGGACACCTCAGCTATCTACTACAGAATCTGGACAGTCTTCATTTTCTGCTACAGGGACAGGAAGTTTGGTGCTAATGCCATTGATGCAGATACTGGCCATTCAATTTATATTTTTGATTAATTTCTTGTTTAAATTTTAAATTATTCAAAAGTTTAGTTTGATTCATTTTGTTTGCCCTTGTACTTTCAGATTACATTTTTGGAAGATCTCAACTGGAGCTGTGGATAAAAGAAAGGAAGGGAGGCAGTGACTGAATGGTAGGAAAATTCTTCATCCCTGGCAGATGCCTCCTACCTGACTTGGAACTGGAGTGGGGTGGAGGGAAAGAAATTCTCTTTTATGGTGAACTCTGATATAATGCAACTTAATAATAGTGAGTCTACTCAACTTCACCTAATTGTGAAAAGGAATTAAGTCCCGAATTAATGCATTTCCATGGGTTTTTATTACAAGTAGAGTGAAATTGTATTACACACTCCAGATTTTACAATGATGTGGAAATCATGTTGCAGTACCTTCACCACCATTACGTTATAACTATAAACAGACCCTTTAGAATAAGACCTTTTGAGATTTTTTTTTTTTTGTAAAGTGCATGTTAGGCAGATTAGACAGCCAAATCCCTGACTCAGCATTCAGCATTTGTTACCGATAGTGAATTTCTGCTAAGTGCAGAGTCAATTTATTTTCTAGGTGAGGGTTGCTTTGTGCACCCTGCAGAAAGGAGAGCTTAATTCCAGATGTCATAGGGGAAGCCACGGGGAGGACCAGCCATTAGTAATTGTTCTGAGCAAGGAGATTGCATGATGGTTGGGGCACCAGATTTCCCCTGCTATTGAGGACATTTCCCCCTTTTTCTCAGAGATATAGATAAATACCTACTGTTTCTTCCTTCCCCGTAGAGATTAACATTTTTATGAAGGTGTATATATCAAGAATTTAGCTATCTAATCTAAGGTTTTTGCCTTTACAATAAAAGCAGTGGCAATGCCAGCAGTGTTGGTTCCCAGACTTTGAGCTCCTCCAACCACACACAATGAAACAGAGTGCAGCACAGTAAAATGCAGTATACTTTAATACTTTGTGAGGAAGGCCCTTTATCTCCTTGGGGCCTTTCCCATTAGCCTCCTCTGCCTGCTGTGCCTTCTCCATCTGGTCTTTTGTGTGCTCATCTTCACCAAGGTCCTGGTAAGCTGAATCAGCTAACCAGATGGCTTGTTTGTCAGGACAGAATCTAGCTCTTCATGGAAGGGCAGCCTGGGAGGTCGGGTTATTGTCCCAGCACCTTAATAATAATAATAATAATAATAATAATTAATACCTAGCTTTTCTCTGGTGCTTTTCATCAGTAGATCTCAAAGCACTTTACAAAGGAGGTAAGGATATTGTGCTACCACTGCTTTGCACTGTGCTCAACGTCCTGACATCTTATATAGGCCTATTGGTTGTGGGCCTTAGAGGCCAGGTGTGCCCTAACAGTCTCATTGCTCCAAATCCCAAGTAAGACCCTCATGTTGGCCTTTGGCCACCTCATAGCTTGACTGAATGCTTTCCCTGGAGTGGGAAGTGAATGCTGGTGTTCACAAGTGCTGTAGTTACCTACAGCAAGTGCTGTACATTATATACTAGTAAAGGATTTCCTGTTACTCAGTGGAATGCCTGTAGCAAGGAGGAATAGAAAGCTGGGGGAACATGATAGGAAACACTTGCTGTGAAATGTGAAGTGTGGCGTTGTGGGACGGAGTTGGGAGAACTTGTGTAGCTGTACGGTTGTGGTTTCTTGTCCACTCTGGTGAGAAACTGTTGTAGAACGTACATACTCAGCCAGATCTGAGCTAAGGACCTTGTTCCAACAAATCTGTACACAGACTTGATAAAAGACAAAAGTATGTGGGGAGTGGGGAGGAAAATAGATAGATGTTATGACTGTGTCTTGTCTGAGTGATATTTTTTTTTTTAATTTAAGAGTCAGGAGGACGACTGTAAGTTGGGTAATGGTGTTAAAATTGTTGGACTACAAAATAGAATCTACAAAAATCTAAAAGGGGAAGACAATGGTGTACCGTAGGGCTTTGGAAAATATGGGATGGTGAACTGGAGCTCCCTTAATGCATCAGCCCATCTGTCTTGCTAGTTTCTTTGCCTTAATCATAGACTTCATGAAGTGTCTAATTTTCTTTTTTTAGCTTTCTGTCTTCCCCTTGTGCAAAAGTTAAGGAAGGGAAATGATTGGAGCTGGATTTACTTTTACATGAGAAAGGAAAAATAGTATTAGAAGAAGTTAATGATTGTGTTTGCGTGTACTGTAGATATAAGCTATGTCTACACTCGGTTTTTTTGGGGGGATGGGGGGAAAATTTTCCAATATTGCTACCAATGTGGCAACTCCTCTGGTGATGGTAAACAGTGGGAGTGCTAGTGTTGACCAGCCTCCAATGGTTGCTAGTGATTTTAATGCTGTGTTGTCTAACTCTGCTCAGAGCAGGTCTAAACAACATGGGGTGAAATCCTGGCTCCATTGACTTTAACAAAGCCTGTATTTCAACCATCGCATTTAAAAATGGCAGGGGCTGCAGGACCATCACTAGTACTTTTACTTTTGCTACTATTAGTCATTAGCTATCAGGGCATAGAAACTTAGGGACAGATCCAGCTCTCTCTTACACCTTTGTATTTCTGCAGCAAATCTATTAAAGTCCATGGAATTACTCAAGGTTTATACCAGTATATATAAGATTACATTCTGGACCCAAAAGTTATAACCTTTTTGTTACTGTTCAGTGGCCTAGATGAAATGAGTTTTCAATCTCCATGCGGTTCCTAGTTGAATTTCTATCGCAATACATGGAGCTGCATCAGTTTTTAGCAACAGTGGGAAATTTTTGCCAAAATCCGCAGTGTAGCTATGGCCACATACTCGCAGTATGTACTATGTGGAAGACACTGATTGACATTAATTAGGAGTGGGTGGTGAGAAAGTGTAAAAATAAAATTTCTTTCTGCAAGGTTTACTATTAGAAATAAAGTATGTGATGTAACACCGAATGTGTGCGTGTGTGTGTGTGTGTGTGTGTGTGTGTGTGTGTGTGTAGAGGAGGTTGCCAATTCATCCTTTAGAACAATAGTGGGAGTTAAACATTACAGGTTTGAATGTCAATAAAAGTCTGGGAGTGCAACCTGTCTGTTGTGCGCTGCTCAGTATAATGTGTTTCAAATTTGTTTCTGTTTGTTCGGAGCTCAAAATGCCTTGAGAAAAAAAACTAATGATGTAGAATGGAATTTGTGGCAGAAAAACTGCTCCAAGTACTTTGTGTTATTACCTAGGATATTTTGGGGACAAATCTATTCCAGAAGGGAAGGACAATTTTGTCTGTAAATTGTAGCAGGAACAGCACATTAAAATTGAATAGGTCGTCAAGTAGTGAGTAGGTATAGTCCTGACTGATAATATTTCTCAAATCCTTCTCTATATGTATTCTGAGGGTAAGAAGCAATGAATGGGTTCCACTGGATTAATGATTTGTGAAATACATTTTTATGTATGTCCAACTTTTCTTCTGAAATATATGGGCATTCAGCTGTGTCAACCTACAGACATATCCATTGGCAGTCTATTGGGCTGCATTAATGAATCCAAACCCAAAGGCTCTGTTCTCGAAGAACTGTCTTATGTGCAAGTATCTAGGGTTTATGTGTGTGGTGTTGGTGGAGAATTTTCTGTGGAAGTTTTATACAGCTCTGTGTGTGTGTGTGTTTCTCTCTCTCGCGCGCGAGCGAGCGCACATACGCAGATTTTACATCCTTTGTTAAAAAAAAAAAAAAACGAGGGGGGAGGTGCAGATCTGTAGCCTGCGTGAGTCAGTATAGCTCTAATCAGGTGACTGTAGCTATGCTAGTTTACACCATATCTGCTCCACAAAATTCAGGGCCTTTCAGATTTGGCCTGGGTTGATACTAACCAAGAGCCAGATTCTGCTCTCTGTTACAATGGTGTAAATCCATAACAAGCCCACTGAAATCCTCTGAATTGCTCCAGATTTACAGTTTACACTAAGCCCCCGCCCCCCCCAGCGCCGCGCCACCGAAACAAAAAAAACACCCCTCGAGCACAAGGTACAGGCACAGAGAATCGGGCCATTAGAAGTTGAAATCTCATTTCTGTTTAATGACCTCACCCAGCCATTTAAAACCAGGCAAGTGGTTTGTGGTAAATGAATGCATTTAAGGTTACCGTTTGATGTTTTTTTATTCCTTTAGGTCCTGACTCTACAGTCTTTACACAGGGAAAGCTTCAACTGAAGTCAGGGATTGGGAATTTTACCAAAGTGTCACCATAGGCCTCTTCCCATGTCTCGCACATTGCTACCGATCACCATGCAATGTTAAACTTCCAGGACTTGATTCTCATATACACAAGGTGATTTTACACTGCTCTGGCAATGTAAAGGGGCCTTGAAGTGGGTGTAGATTACCTGGTTCCTGTTTACATTAAAGGCCCCTTTTATATTGCCAGAGCTATGTAAAGTGGTGTAAATGAGAATCAGATGCATTTAAAAAACAAATGGTAAATGAAAAAAATGTGTATGTAAAGTGTTCTATGGATATAAATCTTTCAGTCATTGGATAACTATTTATAACTTGAATTAAACAGCTTAGGCTGACATGTACAGTTCCATCAATTTTTGGGTGGGGGGGTGGATGGTTTATGGATAAGTGGGAGGAAAATCTTTTCAGTAAATACTTTCTAGGAATGTGTCATTACAGAACATTCCCGTATTTAATTTGAAATAAAAAGTATTGTTAAAAATTTTCCCTGATCCTCTTTTAAAGCCAGTGTCTGTTCAGTTTAGTCAAGATATGTGTATCACAGTTATCATCCTGTTCTCAATTCCTTGTTACAAACCGTACAGCATGAAACATCAAATGGTCTTTAATACAACACACAGAGACACGGCCTAAAATACTTTTTAATCTACTATACTAGTACATTGTTGTACTGTAAGTGCTTTCCCAACAGTGTTTGTAGCACAAAATAATGTTCTCACAGTTCAAATGCTTCAGAAGTCAGCAGTGACCACCTTTGCGTATAGGCTAAGAACCTGGAATATCCGGTTTCGTTTTGAAATGGCTTTCTTTTATTTAATTACCAGGTTTTTACCTTTTTTAAAAAAAGTGGCTATACTGGAAATACTGGCACAGCCATAGGTATATAGCAGTGAGAACAGTGCTGCTATTATATCTGGGATGGGTTTAAAGC